AGCCGTGGACCAAATGGACTCTCTTAGATAAGCTATGGCAGTGTGATAACGCTCACGGTTCATGCCCTTCCCACTGCATGTAATGTAGTTTATAATGGTGACATCACAACGGCGGTTCAACTCAGTTAATGACAAGTCTGCTTCGTCCTTAATGATAGCACTTTTCAAAACACGCTCTTCTGGCTGAGTGAAGGGAAAGTTAAATACCTATATGCTTAATCATATAGTCATAATGGTAACCAGGGTTTATTATACGTTAAGTGTACTGTAAGTGTCTCAGCACTTGAACGGCAGCAATGACAACAAAACGTATTCTTCTCCAGCGATCAACACTTCACTTTCCCATGTCGGCAGAGGTTTGGAAGCCTTTTTTCAGAAAACAATATGGGAATTCTTTAATCCATTCTGTAAAAAAATAAAACACTGTAATAGCCTGGGAACTGACTGTAGCTCCCTGGCATCGGTTCTGATGCCTGTCCAGATCTCTAATCATTTTAAACTGCAGAAATGACATCGAACTGGATTAACTTACTTGCAGACAACATTCCCAGTTACAAAGTGTTTTTTAATTTTGAAATTATATTAATTTATATTAATTTTATTATTAATATTTCACATACACAAACACAGGTCCCTATGGTTTAAAGTTTATAGCTTGTCTTAATGACCCTACAAAATGTTTAAAGTTTGAAAAAAGTCCTCAGGGTTTAAAGTCTGTCAGAGACAATTTGCTTCAAGTAAAGTACATAGGATTTTAAAAGTCCAACTTCAACTCAAGGTCCCAAACTTCAGAGCCAGCAAAAGTCACTGGAGAAACGTGTGACCCGAGTCTCCAGGCTATACATTAGAAGAAAATACTTTATGTGTTTGTTAACAAGTCATTAGCACTCAAGTCAAACTTCCAGTCTTGGACAAGAGGACAACATCACAAACAACTAGTCACTCTTAGCTTTTGTCCATTAGCAACCTCTAGCCTAATTTACAATCTCCATGTGTTTGGACTGCGGGCAGACGCTGTTCTGCCCAGACACTAACTCGACTGTACCGAAAAAACCCACAGCTGGATCAGCAACAGAAGACGAAGAGTGCGGATTCAATTTCATTCTGAGGTAGAACCCGGTCCAGGGACCTCGCTGCTGCGAAGCCAGAATTGCACTGAGCTGCGGAGGGATACGTTTTGATTTGCGAGGCTTAATATTTATAGCAAAACACAAGATCACACGGTGTATTTGGCCGATGGAGCGTGTTGCTGCAAGCCTCAGTACAACAGCATAAATGACTGTAATTACACGTGTCCTAAAAAAAAGTCATGTAATTGCCACCTACACTCTCCACATCTCTGCACCACAGTTACTCTGACAAAGCTGACACATGACAGTCATTTTGGGATTAGTGACTGTGCTGAGTCGAGCTGCGCTGACTTCACACCCTAGTGTTTCTGTGTGTGGGAGAGTGTGTGTGTGTGGGTGCACATGCATCTCAAACCCACTAAGAAAAGCAGTGGGTGGCTGAGTGAAGAATGACACCCACTGTGTGAAGGATCTACTCATTTACCTGGCTTCTTAACTCATCACAGCTACGTCATGGTAGCAGTGTCACCGACTGCAAATCCAGAGAGGGAAGAAATGAAAAACAAAAATCCTCAGCTTAACTGTTGTGTTCTTTGAAACACACACTGGCTGGAAATGGCACCGCAGAGGATCATGGGAGATGGAGAAAACAAGTCAGAATGGCACCGATGGGGTTAACTGTAGATCCTACCAAATGTACTGGAATATAACATGGTTAGCAGGGATTCAAATAAATTGTGAAATACTTTTTTTGTTTATTCACCGGATGTTGGTGAATTACAACTCAGAAGACCACAAGTTCAACTCCTGGTAAAATCCTAAAATACTCCTTTAGTGTACTGGATATACGTGTATACAATATTTCACGGCTGATCACTTTTTACATGTGTAATATCACACCAGTAGTAATAGCTTAATATTATAAATGCATGAGAAATAAAACACACATCAGTGGTATTTGTTTCGAAGTGTATGTCCTATAACTTAGCGCAAACGTTGCCAATCCTGCCAATCCTGCCAGTATACAGGAGCTATATACTGGCAGGCCAACTCTAGTACACATTTAATATGATCTAGCGGGCCAAATATAATTACACTGCGGGCCAGATTTGGCCTCCGGGCCTGAGTTTGACACACGCACCTAAAAACTATTTAATCTACATTAAGGGTTTGACTTATGTTTTACATGTTCATGTGGATGTCACTCATTAAATCACTAGGAGGAAATGACATAACGAAGCAGTAAAAACGGTGACAATTCACAAATTAATTTCTTCTGTTTTTAAACTTGTTAAAAATTGTGCAACACTTTTGAGAAACACCTCACAAATTCTTACATTTTTGGCTGCAACGATCACAAAGATTTATTGAAAAAAAAATCCAGGCTGGACTAATTAGTCTGGCAAGATGAAGATAAGAGATGTCAAAACTGCTTTGGATTTTTACATTGTTCAGCTTCTCCGGTACAAGCACTGAGGTCACTGTGGAACAAGCATGACATCCATTATAGACATCCCATCATATCCAAGGGTGAAATGTGTTTTGCTTTCCAATGGAAAAACTAACAACGACAGCTTGTCTTCTAAATTGGAGACGACAGCTTGAAACGACCATTTATCAGTAATAAAGACAACAGTATGTTTCTGCTCAGGCAGATGAGGACTGTCAGTGATCAGCCACGAGTTACCGCTCAACCGCATGGGAAACGTACAAACTGGGTGCATTTGATCGTGTGCACACACACAGCCGATTCCACACAAATGTCAAAGCTCCTGCAGCGTATCCCACAACAGACGCTCCCACATGTTCAAACCCACCACTCTGGCCCGGAGGATCCCAAGGCAGACTTATGTGGAGATTGAGTCTCTATGACATTGTTATCTCAATTTGGCAGTATCAAATGGCAACCGCCAGATCCCCAACTCCAGCCTCACATGGACATGAAGTTGTGATTCACATGGCATTAGGAGAAAAATGGCCAGTTATCTCACACACACACACACAAACACACACACACTGCAGTGATATGGAAAATAAGCCAGACCATCTCACTCCTGATTGTGGTTTTGTCTCTGTGCAGTATGTGTGGAACGTGGTCTCACTCCATTACTGTCTCTCATTTCAGAGTGCTAGACATTTATGCTGCGGAGAATTATTACTTTTCCATCTCAGGGTCTACGTTAGCGGCACCGCTCATCTCTTTTCTCTCACTTTGTCACTCTTCTTAGCCCTCTCTCACCAAGCTTTTCTCACAGTCTCTGCTTCTTCCTCATTCTTTAGTGCATTTCTGTCTTTGTGTGTGTGTGTGTGTGTGTGTGTGTGTGTGGCTGCTGCCGGTGCAGAATTAGAAGCTGAACACGGATTAAGGGGCCAGGATCGAGGGAGTTCAGTAATGGGAACACTGGCTCGGCTGCCTGCTGCTGCTTCTGGCCCTCAGCTGAGGCCAATTATCCAAAGGGGCCACATCTGGCCCGGTCTGGCCTGGCTGGGACTTGAAGGAGCAGCTGTCTGGTCACTTAAAAGCAGCACTCAGCCTCCAATGACAGGTGCTGGCCTTGCAGTTATCACCACATATTAATTCAACAATCATGTTTTTGATTATTTTGTCCTGCAGCGAGAAAATATTCCAAATATTAACTGGTTCCAGCTGCTAAATAATGAAGGCTAAAGGGTAAATCCAACATTATTTATTCTTCGTGATGTAGTATGGAAGAGGAACAGGGCCACACAGAACTTTCTTAAAAGTTCTGCCATTTTTTAACTTGGACTTTTAATCATGAAAAATCATAAATATATAATAAAATATCCATCAACTACAGAGGATTCACCTTTAATGCTATTACGAGAATATGACTTGAGGTCAGGTGGACATGCACCAACCGGTGGTGAGAACTTTATTGCCTTATGTCGACCTATTTCAGCAAATGGGTTTAAACCATTCTGAACACAGAATAAACCAAAATCAACCAGTTAAGGCGTAGCTGTAGGCTGATCCTGGCCTTCCATCCAGACCCTCTGCAACCACTTTGGGGAGAAAAGAGAAAATACAGACAAAGGGCAACAAGACACACATCCAACAGCACACATGCTCAAAAAGGAAATGAATGCATGCTGCATTTTTAAATGGTGTACTATTGTCAGAAGAAGAATTTTTGAAACATTAGACCTTATTATTACTTATTATTTTGCTAGTCATCTGGGTACTGCCCAGTACTTGGAGACATCTCTACACTATGGAGTGGTTTCATATTTACCTTGCCAACATGACGGCGTTAGTGCCATTAATAAAGTCCAACTAATGGGCACCATGTCAAGAATGTACAGCAGTCCTGTCTGACTCATCCTCTCACCAATCAGGAAATGAAATCCTCTTCCTACTGACCTATTGATCCCACCCTCTACGCACCCATCCACCGTCCCCCGAAACTCACTTGGCCCCTCTCACGGCCTTAGAAGAACATGTGGTCTGGAGTAGAACTAACAGAAAGTAACCCAGTCTGGATCATTGGCAAGTGTGGAACACAGGCGTTACACACCTTCTAATCCCATGTGTGAAAACAAACACTGCTGAACATAGAAAAACCACACTGTGACACACACACACACACAGTCAAGTGCAACGTGCCAGAGTCAAGCAGCGACAGGGTTTCTACAAAGACGTAAAGGTATTATTACCTAAGGATGGAGTGGTGAGCTGTCTCACTTCAACATTTGTTTCCTATGCAGATATGGTGGAGAACACGTGCTACGTGACATCATTTGTCTACTGCAGATTACTGTAAAAACAAGCTGATCCGATATGATGACCTCCGTAGAGAAGACCCACTGCTGATGTAAATAAAAAAAACTTTTAGTTTTACACTGATGCCTCACGTTTTATTCCTAAGGAAAATATGCTGCAAACACAGTAAGAGAAGACAATAAACCTTATTTCTTTTTCTTATTAACTGTATTTAAGACAGATGCTGAGATGGATACAGTGGAATTACAAAGGTTTGATGAAAATGAAAAAAAAAAAACAGAAGAACAATTACTCTATAACAGAGAGAGAAATGTTGTCAATAAACTTGGCCATCTTGACATCCCTTTTTGACAGTCCTCCACAATCATGTGTGGTCAGTGTAATCTGGACCTGTGAGAAAACCATGGCAAAAAATACCTCAATGAATTCAGGTTTTCATTGAATCAGATACACTGACTGATGACGTCAGTATTCACTGCTATACATTATTACTATTATCATTATTATTAATAATATTATTATTAGTAGTAGTTGTTTTATTATTATTATTATTACTAAGATACCAGATGTTGAATGTTAAGTCATTAAAAAAATACCTTTCCTATATTCTTTCAATGTACAAAGTACCTAAGTAACTGTAACTAAGTGTTTAAGGAAGATGTGTCTATTATTATATTATATATTATATTTGTTTTTTCTGTTCTTCTCCTCTGCTGTTGATGCCATGTAAAAAGATCTATAGAACTTTGTCTTCTATTCACCAAAAACATAAACAGTTCATCAAAAGATAAACATATTCTCACCGGCCACACAACACCTGTCTCTGTGCTTTGACCAGGCCCAGTACCACCATTTGGACATGCCTGACGTAGTGCAGCGATGTTTGGGGCTAAACACACAGAAGCTCGACTCAGCTAATGCTGGCTAACCCTGCCCTAAATGAAAATAGTCAATATTTGTATATTGACGACGGCAGGAAAGATAAGAGAATATCAGTGGCCGTCAGGTAAACATGGTGTTAGCTTTGTTCTAACTAAACCCAAAGTCATTGTGGGATTTGCTCATAAGTATCTTTGGGGAACAGTGTTGTGAGGCCCAGAGACCTGTGGCCCTGCTGTACAGCAACCACAGTTTAATAAAGAGTGGCTTAGGAGCAGCATTCCAGGAGGAGCGGCCCGATCCACCGCACACTAACTCAGTGGCTGCCAGCTAATGCCCAGAGACTTTCAAGGACAGGGTTTTTGTCGCATCGGACATCACTTTGTTTCCCACACAGATGAAGTGTGTGTGCGGCTGTCTGTCTGTACTTTTCTTTTTCTAAAACTAAAACAACATTTCGGACCATGGATAAGGTGAAAAGGCAGGTTGTGACCTCGTCTGCGATACATTCAGAATTATAAGATGGAAACACTACTTGCAAAAGTATTTCGATTTAAATTAATTGTTTTTGTAAATCGGTCTGTCTTAGAACTTTTTGACTAAGTCTTACAGGTGCTAAACAATTGAAGCTCTGTAACCTTTACCTTATTATAAACATTAAACCATTCTGGGTGGTGGTTCATCTTCTCTGCCTGCAGAGCCACTCGGGACATGAAGCCAAAGGCCTGGTGTGGAATACAAGAATAATAACCAGTCAATGGAACAGTATTCTGGACGCTTGCTGTCAGCGTAACATTTACATTGACAAACATCAGTTTATAGTTACTGTTTATAATATAAGCAGAATATTTTCACACTTAAAACTACAGAGAGCTGTAAAAGAAACGATTAAAAAAAAGAGAAAATATTTTCAGTACCAGTGCAAAACAAGTTGACAACGCAGCCATGCAGTCACTGACAGAGATGAACGCAGTTATGGATACAGCAGGGCGGAAACGTTAACACTAATAATCGCTTTGGGGTTATCATGTGGTTTAGGTCATCAAATCAACTAATTGTAAGACATGAGAAAAAGGCAAGACCATTGAGAAAGATGCAAATCAAAGCTGTGAGTCTCACTTCACCAAATGTAGGTCAAGGTTCCTGTTCATTTTTGTTTTTCACTTTTTTTTTTTTTTTTTACATTTTGCAATTTTTAGGTTTTCTATTTGAAACATTCTTCATTTTCTACCACTTCTACTAACACTTAGAGCTGGAACCAAACCCTGGTGTCAGGTCCACCCTGGACTGTTTACACATCATCACGTCACAGTCGACACTGAACCCCTAGATTTAAAAAAAAAAAAATCCCAAAAATGATTTAAACAAAGCGAACAAATCACAATCTTTTACAGACATCAGAACCTGCTGTAAAGCTTCAAACAACTTTTTTTTAAATATGCACTTGAAACGTGGCTTCACGTTTGAAAAAGAAAATTTAAATCATTTGAATTAGAACATCAGTGTCAAAACCTTTTGACCAAAACAGTCATTCACAGTAAATTATAGACAGTGGATCCAGACCATATTGACCAATAACCGACTATTTCTTAGACTTACAGACAAAAAAAAAAAACAGATGAAAGGAACAACAAAAGACACACAGACGTTCACACTCACAGATACTTTCTGACATGACCAAAGGAGCAACACTGCCATCTGAGGCTGAGACTCAAACCTGTGCTGAAGCTGTCCTGAATGCCATGTGTGCATACTTCCACATTACAAGCAGAGATTCTGCACAAACAGACACTCACACACACACACTTCATATTTCAGGCCTGGCGTACACGTGGCCCTCTACAATTACGGGTCTTCCCCAGAGTGATTACGGTTATTCTAATTATCTACAGAGAGAAGAGTGAAATCCCTCGGCACGCCCACTGTGAGGAGACGGGGTAAAAAAAAAAAATCAGGTAGGCCTATTTCTGAGCAATTTCCCAGTGCAATCTCAATTAAGCCCCTAAATACTTCCCCCCTGCCTAATTAAATCAACTGAAAGTCCATTGTTTACAATCCGCAGGCTGCAGCTCCATCCACCACCTGACATGACAACACAGAAATGACTCTCACAGAGGAAATTGCGCTGAGCCTTTTTAGTGCATTGCAACCATTTTCCGAGACGTCCTGTTGGGTGCCCAACGCAGCGCCTGTAACACGATCGTGGGCTTGATCAAATTGGTTATCAAGGAAAAACCGTCTCCTGATCAATTTAAGTAATTGGCATATTCCTGCAACTTGACCCCACTGGCACCAATTTGCAGACTAAGGCAGTCTGCTTTCTCTCAGCTCTCATTGGCTCTAATGGAGACGGTTAAGCAGCCTGTCATGTCAGGTGTTGTCCACACATGCCCTCCCCCCAGCTCCCTCTTACCTCCCACCCCTCATTTTCAGGACTAAATACACTGCTGAGGAGCAGTGACTGACAGGTAAAGGGATTCCGTGTGAACATTTAATGGCTCATGTATGTTGGGTAGAGAAAGGCTGTGTTCCTGTGTGAGCTCGCAGTCTATTATACAAACTATTCATGTGGAAAAAACAGTTTCTGTTACAGAGAGCTCGCAATTATCCACGTAACCACCAGGAGACATCAGGGTACACGTACTGTACGTTAAGCCTACTATACTTTAATATTGTCGACAATGTTTCAGACTCCTCTAATGATAAACAACCTGCTAGGTGGGGCTCACTTTATTACATTATTGTAGCATTTAACACCTCAGGTCAAAGTGCTAAACTCGTTAGCTATCTCCGCTGGAGTCAGCTTCATTTTGGCTATGGCGTTGTCACCGATTATTTTCCTCATCAATGTACGATAGCGATGTAGCTTAACAGCAGCATTAGGCTGTTTTCAGAAATATGGTGCAACCAACCAACAAGGAACACAAAAGAAGAGGAAATGTGATCTCACAAAAAAAAAAAACGTATGAAAAGAGATGTGACACAAATTGGTTGTGAGACCAAAGGCAGCAAAGGGCTGCCCCCTAGGGGATTCATTGTTCAACAACCATACTGCCATAGGCAGTATGGTTGTTGGCATCATAAGGATTTAGGGGGACGGACAGGATCAACTCTGAGGATGTTGCTCATTACTGTTAGTTCTTATGAAACATTTTCAGATAATTTCAGGGAAGTACATAATAAAGAATTTCTTAACTAAGGAGTTGTGTTGCACAAAAGAAAAGCAAACAGGCATAAAAAGAGCAATCATTATTTGACTCACTGCCAGGAGGATCAGTTACTCCTGTCCTTGGTCGGTGTGTGTGTGTGTGTGTGTGTGTGTGTGAATAATGGGTGTCCTTCTCTCTGGGTCACACAATTCTGAAGCACAAATGATCAGAATAACACTTGTAGATTCACTGACATTATATCTGCTCTGTAACTGCGAACATATGGAGTCACATCTGTGGAACTGGTTTGAAACACTTGGCAGGAGACGGGGCTTTCTGTCTGAAGCAATATAATTGGTCAATTCAGTTTTTAATCCAAGCAGTATATTTTCCACTCAAAGCCAACTGGAGCATGATGAACCTCATCAATGACCAATAACAAATGTTGAATTAGTAATGACACCTGTGTGTTTCTCATTTGACCGAAGAATTGTGAAAAAAAAAAACAGTAATCCAACCCAAGACCAAAGTTTATAATCTCAATCCAAAATGTGACAAAATATAAGGACACTTGGACTGAGCAAAGGGTTTTTTTATTTTTAAGAATGACAGTGAACAATGTCGCCGGTATGAAACAGAAGATGAGCTCTTCTGTTTCATGCGACTTGAACCCTGAAGAACTACTTTTATGTCTCGAATGAAAATGGCCAGGAGAGCAGTAATCTCCTACTACAAGAGAAATGGAGTTGAATGTAAAACTGCGACCTACATCAGTGTCTCCTTGCAGGTGGATGTCCCTCGGGGGCAGTAAGCAGAGTAGCTGGAAACAATGCTGGCCCAGTGGTGGCGCTCTCCCTCTCTGACACCCACAGGTCACCTCAACACCCTGTACGGCCAAACAGGAAAATGAAACCGATGGCCAAGTCCCAGCTGAGGTCGTATGTCAACAGAGGTCAAGGACTCTCATTCACAGAGTGCTTTGTTTACACTGTTTGTATTACACTTCTCAAGTCAACGTGTCAACCAGCCGCTCAGCTCCTCGTCCTTCCAAACAGCCACTCGACCAGTTCGCCAGCCAGACCGGCCCAGCGAGCTGTAGCTGTCAGACTAAAATAATTTGACTTGACGTTACACAGGCCCCTCATCTCAAATAATCAGAAACACCCAAAGGCAGACCCCCACTCTCTCCTCTCTCCCCATGCCAGCGAAACTGAGGAGTCATTTGGGTGCTATTACGCCATGATTGTCATACAACACTGGATGAGACGACTTGACGTTGGAGCGGAGTGGTGCTCGCGCTCTCGTTGCGGCCATGGGCTGGAATACAGGACTCAGTTTCAAACACATGTGTCTGTTATTTACAGATCGGTTTTCCACCGCCGCACCGTCCGGGGGCTTACGAACGCCTGCTCTGCTTCTGCCAGGACTAAGTGCATGCAGATTGTGCCTACTATAAGAGACAGACACGCATGAACCGAAGTGTGGACAAACACACAAAAATGCAAAGCCATTCGTCACTACACACAAATATGTGCAGACACACACTTGTGCAGGAATAAAGACAGACTCCACTCTTGCCAATGATTGCACTGTGAGGTCCATCATCACCGCTGCAGCGTCAGCCTGCTGGAAACCTTCCCTCTCCTTTAGGAACACTGTGAATCACTCGACAGCAGCGTTGGTGTCGACGATGGTGACGACCGCACTCCTTACGTCTCATTTCGCTTCTTACACAAATAACTCTTCACAAGCTTCCAGCTGGATGACCATGCCAAGTTCACACCAAACTTTAAACAAATAGCAACTAATTATGCAGCCAGGCTGCCAAGCACTGAGGCTGATCGTGTAGTGGAGAGCTGTGGCATGTGCAGCATCAGTGGCATTAATCTTCTCAAATTAACATCCGTGCAGGAGACGAGCAGAGAGCGGCTCTCATGTGACAGCGCTGATAGATGCGCTGCTATGCTGCTAACACTCATTAGCTGCCTCACATCGTGTAGAAACTAATGTTCAAACACGTCATCTCCCAGTCACATAAAGACTGTCCTGTCATGCTAACGTAGACTGCAGTGCCCTCCTAGCTTACCCTGGAAACCGAAGCCAGATTATTTTATCACCTCACGGCTTCACGCCGGTTATTTTGACAAGATCACATGGATTTTTCAGCTTGTCCTCATCCAGAAAATTAAAAACGTGCACGTGATGACTGGTCTGCCTGCAGTCCAGACCTGTGTGCTGTTAAAGTAACTGGACTTTAAGAAGAGGCGAGTGTAACCAGCAGCTCATTGCTTTTACACTGCAAAAATGTGGGAAAGAAAATTCCTCTAACAAAACCACAACAACCAGCTGCCCCAGCCGTGTACTTGACAGTGCCGCGACTTTTTCAACGGCTTGTATTTTAACTGAAAGTCCGCAGCATATTTCTAATCAGCGTTTTATTTTTGGTGCAGTATTGGAAAGCTGTCTGGTTACTGGAATTTTGCGGTTCAACTTCAAAACAAGTTGCCTGACTACACCCATGCATTACCCTGTGTTCCATCTAAATTGTAAGTTGGCAACTGGTCACAGAAAATTATGTCATTTGATGCATTCCAGTTGCCAAGGTGGGAAAACAGGATCTAAGTCTTCAAGAAAAGCCGTGGAAATTCTTGCACTATAGCTGTAGAGGCCCACAAAAAAAAGGTCTTTTACATGGGATGGACGGACAGTCCAGTGGGTTTACCTGGGAGTTTTTGGTCATGCCTTGTGATGGTTTTGTCTCGAGCTGTTGTACATCTTTTACAACAAATATTTCAGAGACATATTTAAACAACAGTTGCATTGAGTTTGTGAAAAAGAAAAGCTGGAGACAGAAAGGGTTTAAATTACTCATTGCCTTATTTATATGTGATGGAGAGGACATGTCTAAAGTCTGGCCCCAGGGCCCATGGTACGTGGCTGGACCAAATGTGTACAACTTTTTTTTTTCTGTTGTATACAATCTTTTATCCATTAACATTTTCTGGATTAAGCCTAAACTAACTTTTTGATATCCTTTCTAATTTAAGGTAGTTTTTGTTATCATTTACTCGCTGTATCAATTGCTGTGGTTCTTCTTACACATTTCTCTACCTGCTAAAGAAATGTTGAATTTATGAAAATAATTTTTGATATTTTTATTGTTTGCAGCACAGTGGGGGAATTGCACCAAAGGAATGTTATTTCTGTTGTTACTGATTGGTGATGATCTAAAAGAATTCCAGAGATTTTAACATCAATCAGTGGAGTTTTGAGGCAGTAGCAGTGAACAGGTCAGAAATAGTCCAATCTACAAAAGGAGATTTCAGCAAATGTATTCTTCTCGAATGCCGTGTAAACATGAGCGCTCAGAGCATCTCACATCTGCAGGAAAAGTTTAACTCTCACTGTGTAAAGCAGAGCAGTGAAAAGACAAAACACACAAACTCGTTCCTTCATCATGGGTCAAAGTTAGGATTTAGCCGGATTCGGGTGAGAACCGTACAACCGAGCCGCTCTACACACTGGGACCAAAAAAAAATGATGAGGGTGAAAATATGTTTCTATAGTTACATACAATGGAACATTATCCTCTGAGCACCCACAGCATTCACACACATACACTACAGTACCCCCGCCCCAACACCACCACCACCACCACCACCAACTGCTGCTCAACCAAAACAATGGAGTCGTCAAAGGTGGCGATGGAGCCAGATCTCACGTGGACAGTAGTAGTACGTGTGTTAATGAAAGAACTCTGAATTATGACGTATACGTTATTTCAACAGCGATTTCTAAAACAAACAAACTATTTTCCCTTCAGTCTGAAACCCGTCATATAAACTAAGTTAGGAAACTCTGACGCAGACGAACCAGGTCTCGTGATTCTGAAAAACGGACGCAAAAAAAAACGACAAACTGACATTTCTTTCCACCACATATGCCGCTCTTGGGCCTTGTGGGGAAAGATGGAATGTCATCGTTGTCAACATCAGCTAACATCGCACAACAGCTGAGCGTTCACAGCTCGCCTCTCCTGCACAAACTGCATCTATCCATTTCACCGGACTGTTTCCACTTCATCCGCTGAAATGTAAAGCAGACGATCGACTCTAAACACTGGTGACGTAAAACGTGATGCATGAACAATATTAGGGCCTGTAGTTTTTTTTTTAAGGAGCACAAAGATACATGCACAGAAGAGCCTTTTATTAACATCCTGAATAGATCCATATTGTCTCTTTATGCCTATATATGTAGATACGAGTGGCTCTGATGCATTAGTCCATTCACTGACTGTGGCTGCAGACTTAGTGTCGTTGATGCCGTTATAACACCCCCTGCAGAGCACATGAGGTAGTGCTTCAGTTCAAAGAGCAATCACTTGTTATTCTTAATATAAACTCTGGGGGATCTAATTTCCTCCAGATCAGGGCTGGCTGATAAGTGGCGAATTGAAATCAGCCAGAATGCTGCTTTTCATCTCCACTTCTCATCCTTCCAGCAAGAAAGTTTGCAAAAATCCATTGGAGAATTGCAGAGGTTTGGCTGGAGATGGAATAAAAAGAGGGTGAAGGAGGATGGGGAGACCCACGGGGAGAGTTGCCAGCATGTAAAATTGGAACAACGTGAGCTCATCCCCCAATAACATGGAGCACAGCATGGGAATGAGAGACAGACAAAGACAGAGAGAGAAGGGGTGAGGAAAAGAGGAGAGTGGCAACATGAACAAGGCAGGAACAGAGAGGCGAAGCACATCCACCAGAAGGAATGATGAGGTTGTTAGTGGTTTGTAGACCAGATGAAACATTTTAACCAATCTGATTGTTTGTGAAAGAAATCATTCTGATCGAAACCCCAATTGCTGCCAACTGGCCGCCTGGCGTTTCTCAGCGTAATGCAGCCCGACGTGTCGGGGTAAGAGGAGAGTCCTCGGAGCCAGGAGGAGCAGATGGGGGAGGTCAGCCCTCACCAATCCACATCAAACATGTGGAAGTGTAAAAACAGACTAACTTTGGGGCTAAAACAACTAATGACAGGATTAGACGAAGTCCACTAAGTGGCCTTGAGATGATGCAGTTTACTTTGCTGTAGTACAGCGGCGCTCAGCCAAAACACAGTTCTTTGTAATCCAGAGAAGTGTTAGAAAAACAATCAACCATGAAGGGTTCGTACTACGGGTGTCCGATATTAACTTTTTGCTGATATGCTGATATTTTCCAAACACTTAATTTCCAGGTTTTCATTATCTGAGGAAAAACCAATTCTTACAGATAATACAAAATATGCTAACAATAACATTTGTAAAATAAAAGACATTACACAAAAGTATTTTATTGTCTTCACACAAACCAAACAAGAAATGTGCTGTAGTTCTATCTGATAATAGAAGACACTGGCTGAAACACAGCCCGAAACCATTACAGAGCCAGACCTCTACTGTTATTTCCTAAAGATTTCATACATGCATTGATCCATGTCTACAAGGGGCAAAGTAACTTTTTCAAAGCACAAATTTAAATCTTGAAATCTTGAAATTTCTGCTTTAAACGGGTCCTTGTCTTACAGTTTAGTGTCCCACTTTGCCACTGAGTCATTAGTTGATGGGTAATCTCAAAGCGTAACGAAAGGCCCTATGAGACACTGGTCCTCAGTTTAAAACGTTTTTGCCAATCTCTTTGTTTTTTATATCCTAATTCTCCAGGTGAATCATAGAGGTGGAGCTTAGAGTCCATGTGCAAGAGAACAGGTTAGGGTTAGAGACCACTATTGGAGGATGAAATGTAAAAAACACAAAGAGCAGAGAATCTACTGGTGTCACTGTACGTCCGGAAAAAAGGAAAAACTTCTCCATCTGCCATTGCTGCCCTGAACAACAGATCTGTCTGGGAAAAAAAGTGAATGGCGTCTTATCAGTGTTTACTCTGTGCTGTGGATATATACTTGTTAGAGTGTGTGTTTCATGTCCATCAAACTCAAGCACTATGCTGTGGTAATGAATTTCCCCCTGGGGACAATAAGGACTTAGTCAATGTCTAGTTTGTTATCCCACACAGCTGGTACAGTGTAACCTGTGTTTAAAAAGATTTGTGCAGTGGTGGAAATCTGTCTATTTCTGTGATCCGTTGTGGTCCTTGGGGCGGGGGGTAAGGGGAGGGTTGTGTTTTGGCTGTGGGTTTTTTTTTTTTAAACGGAGATCTGAGCACAGACCACCAGACGCATGGTGAGTTCGCTAAACATCGGAAACACACAAATGCACCTGATTGGTTGCAGGTGTAGAAGCTGCTTTCACTGCTTTTGTTTGGTTTCTGCAGGATTTATTTTTGTCCATGACTAAAAAGAGAGTCTTTGATGAAGAACATAAATATGTTGTTTATAAAGAGATCAGACACAGCTATAATAGGAAATAATGGCAGAAGACACAGGGTGACTGCAGCTGTAAAGTGGAGATCCATATCGTATGAAAATACTACATTTGTTAAAAGGATTACACAGTAGTACCAGAAATAAAAAAAAACAATGCGTTTACTATTTTAAATTCCACACCTTTTACCTTTGTATTATATTTTTCTTTTAAGTTAAGGGAATTGATTTCTATGACCATGCACAACCGAAATTAAAGTGTTAGACACTGTAAAACACAATTATAATAAACTAATATGTGCTAATATTACACTAAAATACACTGCAAATTAATTCTTATTTCAGTTTAAAGGGGGAAAAATTGACTCTATTAATGTAATTAATTTAAAGTGTATATGTGTGCACACACACCTGATTAAATGATTTAAAGTGGAGCTCTTTGAAGATGGCATCACGGTCCTCCACCTCCATCCAGCCAGTGGACCTTAGCTCCATCACCTTCTCCTCCCGCTCTGCAGGAGAAAGCCAGTGGGAATCTGAAGACTTAAGACAGTGACAAAAAAAATAATTTTCATCACTTTCAGTGAACGCCAAGGTATTACTATATTCTATAAATTAAAAAATCTTCTAAGTCTTAAAAAAACTAGGAATATTCTGTAAGGCTATATATATTATTTTAATATTATATTTATATAATAATATTTTATTATACTATAGTGAGATTGCTAAAGAAAGCCTGATTGTTGTTGCCACTGTTTCCACAGGGTGGCAGCCTAGCACAAATAATGACTGAATGCGAATACAAGGATTTACTTTTCCAAATGTTTTACTGTAATTCAAAAGTGCCAATGTTTTTAAACTAGATGAATAAATTCTTTAAAACCCACGTTTGATGATAGGAATTTGTTTACTGTTATATTTGAGGCAACTTTTACTTTTACTTTTGGAAACATGTAAACGCTCAAAACGAGTAGAAACTAAAAATGACAACTCACTCACATTCAATAATCCGCTTTTGTGTTGACAGTAAACTGTCTAAGGCGGACATTGGAATTGGATATATGCCTTGTGGGACATAGGACAACAGAAAACCTTGAGCTGTAAATTTATAAATACAAATTAATAAAACATCAGGCCGAACTAGAGTGTTCTTTAGAGACAAATGTTGCCTAAACCCATGGTAGATCACAGGGGCACGTGGACATTTATAATTTGGAATTGTTTGTAACGTGTTTGGCGAAGGCGTTCTCCCAAACACTAAACAACCGAGGGATTTAAATGAGACTGCAACTCCCGCTAAATCTTAGTGCAAACGTTGAGAGGATTTTTAAAGACTGTGGCTACGACTCTCACCATTTTAGACAAGTGATTCCTGGAGGTCGGAGACAGGAGCAGCAGACTGCTCAGCCCGGGCATATGCGGCCTGTAGCTGGACAAGATCCTGCCCGAGCCAAGTGTAAACATTAACCTGAACATAAGCAGCGCTTTGTCCGCCAGCCTTCTTCACTTCACTTCACAGCTGTCACCTCTGTTCTCTGAGTGGACGCGCACCCCTCTATAGCTGTCCACCTTACTGCCTGAAGAAAAAGCACCCTGAAGTCACATATCCTTATTTTCAAACTGCCCACTTGTTGTATGACTTTAAATATGACGTTCTTTTGGTTATATGTCCCTCTTTTTTTCTGCTATATACAGACAGTGGCCAAAGTCTAGTGTATTAAAATGTATAATTTAAACTTTTGTAAAAATAAATAAACTTACAGCCCTGTCATTTCTGCTATCTACTTATAAAACTGATCTGATCTGAGCAAAGAGGCTAAAGAGCCACATTGGGCTCAGGAGCCACAGGTTGCAGACCAGTAAAATTACTACAAATTGTATTTTTTTTTGTCAAAACATTCACATTAAATATTATTAAAATATCTTACAGTAATAATTTACAAAAGGAGATATGCAAATATTAAATGCAAAACACTAATTAAAAACAAACAAATTGTAAAAAAAAACAGTAATTGTTGTATGTTTTATTGCAAATAAAATCATGTTCAAATTATTAGTTTTACAACTTGTAATAAACCACAAAGGAAATCAAACAGTTAAAATAATTTACATCCCATGATTTGCTGTGTGGTGATAAGTTCATTTCTACTCCTGATGCTCATGTTCTTGTCCAGGTATTAACCATCTGATGCTGTCCGTCCGCAAAATAGCATAAAAAGTGAAGCCTGTGATGAAGAGGACTGAGAAGACCAGCAGCCAGTCGATGCCCTTCACTGGGACACTGGAGAGGGGGCCCTGGTGGTCTGCGTCTGTCACATTTCTGTCAGAGCTAGCTTCAAAACCTGGAACAGACAGAATCTCTTAGGGAAAACAAACTAAAATTTCTCATTGGGGATTTCACACCATTTTCTTTGTGTTTGCACCTGTCTGGTTGGAAATGAAAGAGGTGAATGTCTCCAGTGTTCTGTCAGTGTGGTTGAAGCGTGCCATGGGTTTAGCCCCCTGGAAAAGAAGTATGTTGGGCACCGCTACAGTCCCAAATCTTGTGGAGAGGCTGGAGATTTAGATAGAGCCGCACAAAAAACAAAACAATGTTAGTTTTTTTAAGAGAGATATAATTAATTCTGAAAATGCTTGTCATATAGAACATTGACATAAAACAGTCACAACATGTGCATTGAATTTTAAATGTTGAACTATTTACAACAATGTACCTGCTGTGTTGAGAGGCATCAAGTGCCAAGAAGTGCATGCTGGGAAAAACCCGGGGCAGGGCATTAAAGTGAGGTGCGAGGCTGGCTGAGAACTGGCACCATGCCGTGAAGAACAACACCACAGAGCATTCAGTGCTGTTTGCATTGAGGAATTCCATCAGGTCCTGAGAAATTAAGGGTCAAGTTAAGAAATAAACAATACAATGAAGACACTTTAATAACTTTTACTATGTCTACTATTATGTTACACCTGACTCAAAGAGCAGCTTGAATACCTGTGAGGTATTGAGGACAAGCACAGTGAAAGTGTCCATTCCTGTGATGTTCCTCTTGTCACAGTTCACCTTGTACGTCTTGGCAATTTCTGTGGTGTTCTGCTCCTCTGTGGCTGCATGCACTATATCCAATGTAACCTGCATGGGGACATTTCAGAAATGCTGCTTAGAATGATAAAAATGTGCACATAATGTGCATCACTCTTAGTTCAACTTTTAAGTAGGTGTATATGTTTTGTTTGTTCCCTTGGTATATTTTATACAATACCTGCTGTGAGGGTTCAGCGTTTGTCTCTTGTTTAGCATCGTTGGCAGATGAAGCACACTGGTCAGAGATTTCATCACAGGGTGGAGTAAAGCCTGTATGGTACTCCTTCATATTTTTCGGTAACAGAGATTCAATGTCAGATTGATCGATGGGGGTTTCAGTGGCCATCACAGCATCTGCAATCTCGGCTGTCTTAAACTGCCTTTTTGGAGGCGTCTCCGGCTTTCCCAACTCCACAATCATTGAGCTGTTCTCCATGTCAGAAGCAGCATCCTCTGACGTCATCAAATCCAGTTGTTCATTATTCTCTGTAAATTTGTAATCAGAATTTAAGATATGTACATAGACTACAGTTACTAAAAACACAGTTTAATGTCTGGTCCGCGAGTAAAATCTGTCCTGCAACTTAAAAAACTCAAAGATCACAAAACGTAAATGTGACAGTGTGACTGAATACCTATACACATCGCAACTATTTAATACTATAAGAATAATAGATGTGGAACAAACGGTACATGGATGTGATCCATAACTGTATTCACGATCAAAATACGTTTTTATAATAGTGCTGTTGTGTGTATATGTTCTGTGCTGTCAGTATACGAGTTTCCAGAATTTCCTTATTCAATTTGCAGTTTGGGATGTGAACCTTTTAGCACGTTTAATACATTTTGTTTAAATAAATGCCATTAAATTTTTGTCTCAGTACGTTTTTAGCTTCGTGTAGCAAAAAGCTAGCGGCTTGTCTCTTACCTTGTGCCGTCGCTGACAAAACAACTGAATAACTCAGAATATTTAATACTATATACGATGCATACAGCATATTCAAGAGCCTAGTCATGTTTGTAAACGTTACGCGTTAAATAAACGGGTTTTTTTACGACATAATGGAACGTTAGGTACGTCCGACTTATTGGAACCAATATTTTCGCTTGTTGCGGTCCGGACTACTTTAAACCTCGGACTGTTAAAATAATGCGTAATTTCCGGGCCAAAAAGCGTTTCGTTCGCCGTAAAAACGTTTACATAAAAATATAAGATAGTTGTTCTTTTATAATAACACTAATTATAATTATAATAACAAGAAGAATTACAATTATTATAATTACAGTATTATTATTATTGTTATTATTATTGTGTTGTTGTGCACTTATTTTTTATTTAAACTAGAAACTGATTTAAGAACAGTAAGCAAGACACTACAACAGAAAGAAAAATAAAACAGGAAATTAAAACAAAATATTTTAGATCAATAACTGCAAAGGAAACTCATCCGAGAAAAGACTGCTTTACTTTCAGATTTATAACACAAGATTTACACATTCCACGACAATCATGCAAGAATAAAATAAGAATTGTACAAACTTTACAGGCTTTACCTTTTGAATAACTGGTATTCACATCCCCAAAACACTTAAAATGTGAGGTAATACCTTTTTTCCCAAATATTATCTACAGACAACAGACCATATCAGTTTAATGGTGAAGATGTTTAACACAAAAACTGTTTCAAAGTCCAAACAATACAGTCTGTGACATCTGTGCGTTGTGTAAGTGCTGATTTGAGATTTTAAAAGCTAAACTTAACATCCCCAACTGAGTCTTTTTTCATTCTACAAATTATAAAATGGTTAACCCTATTAATTTAAAATGCCAGTCTTTTAAATAACAAGGAAATAAATATCTTTAACAACAAAAACAGTCTTACATGCTTGTTCACACATTTGTTTGTTTTGTGTTTTTTTTTTTCTAAAGAAAAAGTAAAAGACCTTGAGTGCTTTGAGGTTTCACCTAACATGCTAATAACCACACCAGTCAGTATCACAATGTAATTTCATCAATTCATCTAAGACTGTGAACATTGCAAAAGACCACCGTTCTAATATAATATGATAAACCAAGAAAAATTAAAGTTTGGATGACCATGACAAATATATATCTTCTGCCTGATGGAGATCTATCTAATCACACTTACAGCCTACATTATTACTTCACATATCTAGATGCATGTACATGAGCATCCAAGACTTCTGCTCTTATCACAGGTAAAGTATTTTAGGATTTTTTTATCAGTCTAAGGTTAGGAAATGTCCTTAAGACTTATTTGTCCATATGTTTCCACATCACCCACTGCTCCATGAAAATTATATTCTCCTCAAACTTATGAATTAACTGAAACTAAATGATAATGTGTTTTCAGATATAATTAGGATCTAAATTCCTAAATGTTGTGTAGGTTTTGTACATATGAAATGCTAATTTTCCATAGGGTAAATCATTGAAATGTAAGATCCATAACACATCTTGTTCCTTCAGGAGGATTAAATCACTTTAAACTGGTCCATACTTAGTTCTAGTTAATTAGTGTTAAATATTTATGACCTCATTACATTTCAAACCAGTTCAAGATCTTTTTCAGGATAATTTTCTTGAGATTGAGAAAAAGGGACAACATTATAGATGTGGTCAAAGGGTCAATTCAATTCAACTGTGATATTAAATGCAACATATCATTCAAACATGAAGAAGAAACAATAAGCTAAACATTACACATGTAGTCATATATGAGCCTGCTTTTCAAAACAATTCAAACAATAATTTTACTTTTTATGTTACATTGGTTTCTAGGTGCTTGATTTTTTTTAAAAGTTTCATACAGGTGTTTTCATGCTCAGGTTATTCCCTTGGATGATTAAATACTTTCCCAAATCAAACAGCACACATTTTAAATGAGATAACAAATTGTTCTTTGGTAAGTGTTTTTACGTGTGATATTTAAGTTACCGCTATGAACACTACACATATGTCAATAAAACAAGCAATTAAAGGCCTTGTTACACCAGTATCAAAATACAACAATAATAAAAAAAAAATAATGATAGTATCAAAGATCCCACACAGCAATAGACGTGACAGATTATTGCACCAAATTCAACAAATGTCTTCACTTTCTGGATCAGTGTCCAAAATACATAAGTAATACCAAAACCATCACACTTTGATGGGGAAAGCCAAACAAATGTGCATGGACAAAGATAAGACATACAGTATGATGTGAACTGCAGTACAAGATGGTAAATATTTTAACAATAAATTTTCTGAGATTTCACGTGAGTTGCTGTGAATATGATGGATTTTTCTGGATCTTAAAATGATTTTTGTCAAACAAAACACTGGGAATGTTTTTTAAACTTTCTTTTTTTAGACATTTTCTTGTAAAGGGACAGGATGTTGCTTTTTTCCATTGTGTAAATGTAGATTATGAAGGGTTTTCTTTTATATCCATTGGACAGTTGCTAATAATCCTTGACGTTTTCTTGAGGAAAAGGCTTTAACTGGTAAAATAATATGTGTTGATGGTGAAATGACAAATTAAAAAGACAAGGACAATAAAAATGATACATACTGTATTTCTATTTCACCCTAAAGACAACAGAGCAGCGAGGAGTTCACACTGCCACAGGCTACAGTCCTCCAGCAGTAGCTCTGAAAATGTAACAGTATTATATCAGGTGGCAGGCACACAGATGACACCAACACGAATCATAGAAAAGCATCTCCTCTCAGGAGACTGGAAAAGGATTACAGTCACACATGCATCTCCTATTCCACATCTGGAGGATCATGACTACTCGTTTGTTGTCTTCTCTTTGCAGGAAGGTTCACAGAGAATTTCTTTATGTGGTGGCAGTGGATATGGGAAAGCCGCTCCGCTGCAGGTGCTACCGTAGGCTAGTTTGTTGAGGCGAGACAAGCCTTTGATGCTGCCAGGAGGTCGCCCTGGACTCACCTTGTATCCCGCTGCTCTGGTTGTACCCAGAGGTCTCCCTGGGCTCGTCTTAAAACCAGCAGCTCGAGTCGTGCCCAGGGGTCGCCCCGTGCTGGTTCTGTATCCAGCCAGCTTTGTGGTTCCTAACGGACGCCCACGTCTCCCTGACTTACCAGTGGCCTTGCTCTTCTTCTTGGGATCGCTCTGCGCTTGGTCGTTGCTCTTAATGCCTGCTAGTTTCGCAGGTGTTCGTGGGTCAACGCCATGCACTTCCTGTCTTTGGCACGCTAAGGACTTGTGGCTCTGGCTGGGTAAGGCCATGGGCGTCAGTGTCATCTGAAGCGTTGTTGGAGGAGGCGGTGGGTAGAACTTGTTGGACTGGGAGGTGCAGAGGTCAAAGTGAGCAGATGGGTGGTGGCTGTCCTCAGCCAGACATGACGGTCTGCTATTGATGCAGAAGTCGCTGCTTGTCACCTGGCGCATCATTGTCTGCTGGGAATTGAAAACCAGTATGTTAATAAACCATTTTTTTACAATTAAAAATAAACATGAATGGATGTACATTTAAAATACTTTATGGTTGTGTACATTCACTGCATGTAATATTATGTTATTATTATTGATAACTGATGTTGTAAAATTCAGTTGGTGTCTGAATTGTTGATAAAAAAATTATCGACGACATATCAACATTCACGGTTTGTTAAAATGCACAGTTGTTTGGAGTGTACAGTTCTAAACACGGACAGGTTGCTCTGTACAGTGTAGTACATCAATCACATCTACTGTCTAAACAAAACCAAGATGTTCGTTAATATAGGAACCCATTAAGGGAATCATGGACCAATTAGAGTACTCATGGTGGTTGGTGTATTAAAAACTGTTTAATTTGTTTACAACATTGCTCTAGCATCAGAAGGTGACACTAATTAACGCATTAGCCGCCAAATGAAGTTTAATAACCCGTTTAAAATGGAACCTTGACATCATGTCAGCACATGAGACTATAAATACTTTAACTGATGCTGTGTCTGGTTGCTGTCCTGTCTCCTGGACAGGGAGGACCAGGGGGAAACAGGGAGGAGTGGACTTGAGCACTTCATACACACCACACTGTTTGTAGTATTACTCATTCACAAAAACACGCACAGGGTGGGAATCCGCAGCCTTGCGTCCAGGAGACAAAAACCTCCTGCTCCCCGTGTCACTTTGCTCCAGTGTAACGTTACAGTACCTTCGTTTTGGGCTGAATGTAGTTATTAAAAGACACAAATGCCTTTAACAAAGGATTTAATGCAACCGTTACCAGATGAAGCCACCACGCGTTTGATTTATGAAAAAGCAGCGACAATAAAAACCCTCCACGGAGGTGACTGTACCTCGATTGTTCGCAGATCTCGGAGCAGAAAGGGTTAAATAGAAAAATGATCTTTCATCCCTTTAAAGCCTGGGTCCATCCATTTGCCCAAATCTTTTCGGAGAGCAGGACATCGGTCAGATGACGTGGGGCCACAACGCCGCGGATTTATTTCAGTGGGGATTAACAGGAGTCGAGATGGTGTCAGTCAGACGAGTTTTTATTTCCCTGCTCCAGAGGTTTGGATAAGAAAAGCAGCCATTTTCCATTAAAAATTAATAAGACAGGGAGCGCAGTCTGAGCATGCGCACAGCGGTCGCCCCTTCCCCTTCGGAGCCCGGTTTTCAGTGTACACCGCTGCTCTTTCTCTCTCTCCACATACACACACACGCAGTATATTTAGAGAGATATATACAGTACACCGTGTATATGTATATAGTACAGTTTGTATATATACCCTGTCATCTGTATGCTCACAAGGTTTGTTAGTATGCTTGGGATTCATTAATGCCTACTGGGCCCCTAGCACCACTTCCTCAAATGCAACCCCAAATCATTACAGAGCATGCTTCATGTCTGCTAAAAAAGTACTGCCAACTGCTCGTGTGGATTTTATTTTACTATGGATGAGATCTAAGTGGACTGGAAGAAATTTAATTTATAATTATTAGCCGAGATGTCAACGAAAAATGTAAACTTCACAGAGATCTACAGTCCAATTGAAATGCAATTGTGCAATTTTTCCAAACCACTTTTTCAAGTTTTATTCATGTTTTATGGTAAACATAAAAAATGCATAACCATGGGGTCTGCAACCTGTGGCTCTAAGTCCACATGTGGCCCTTTGTCCTTTTTGTAAGGGCTCCACACAATGGATAAAATAAAATCTTATGTGACTGATACATCCCCTTTTCATTAGTAGAGAGTAGCTATAAAGGGGCTTTCATTTATTTCTTTACAAAATTAAAAAAGAAAAGAAAAACAATATTAAATGTTAAGACTAATTTTCACCTGGCTTGCTTCATGTGAAACTCACAGACTCAAAGACCAGGTGAGCAATCTTTAGGTACACTAAGCAAAGTTGACTTGAGGTCATCAGATGTGTATGTCATGGGTCTGTCGTAGTAAATACTGAATGCATTCGTGTTGGAAGTGATCATAAATAATTTTGCACCTTTTTTTCTGTGTCAAACAATGAATTGACGAAAGTTTTTCTTTTGCACTTCTGTATAACTCTGAAGTGTTTTTACATCTCGATTAGTCCAGTGGACTTAATAGGAAAAATAAATGACAATAAAAGAAAAATACACTAATTATTTACAGTGAGACAGGTAATATATATTTTTATATTGATTTAATATGAGGTAAGGTAAAAATATCTTTGAAAAAGGACACAGGATGGTTGAGCTGTAGCATTTTGATACAACAGTCCAAATATGATCAATAAAAATTCAAGAAAGTTTGATGTAACATGTATTTTACTGAATGTATAGTCTCGAGTTTTGTTGATTTTTAGTATTTTTTATCCATACTGTACAAAAAAGGGTAAAGCATAAAGGGGAGGAATCGAACCAAAAATAAAGACTGAACACAGGTTGCTGAAGTGTCCATTAATAAAAATATAGACTAAAACCATTTTCAACCAACAGCATGACAATGAAAACTGCTCCAAGACGCCGACGATTCTTCTCTACAGCACTTTGTACCGGCCTTTGCTTGTTGGCTGGTAGGAATTTTGCTAGAGGGTAAAAAAGATTTAAAAAAAACATATTAAAGACATCCTTATGACAAGGAATTAAATAAAATTAGAAATGTTGTGACTGTTAGGATTACAAGAACCAGGCTGTACTTACTAATCGGATGAGTTCTTCCTTGATTAACCGCGTAATCTCTGTCTTAGCTTTCTGCACAGCTAATTCATTAGCACCTAGAAAATAAACACAACCTTACAGTACACTAAACGGACAGTTTTCATATTAAAAAACTGTGTGGACAAAAAGGAAGACGTGTATTCTTAGACACATACTCTCTATAGCCAGGTAGATCTTGCGTTCTCCTTCTTTGGGCTCCTTGCCTGGAGGGAAATAGGTTCCTCTGATGGTGATGGCAGCTTCAGAGTATTCACCAATCCTCTGCAGAGCTTCTTTAGACGTCACCTTCCACCTAGCGGTCTGCAGAAGAGCAAAACAGGGAATGTTGGACAGAACAGTTTCCTCTGATCTGCTTCCTGCTGTAGGTACAGTAACTATCCTGTTTTAAAATGTAGTGAAGTCTTTACCATTTTAATTTAACATGCAGTGGTGCTTTGAGACATTTTTAGCCTCTAGTGAACAAATGAATAACTTTATTGATTTAACAAAACTGACCTGAGGGAAGTCATTGATCTCCAGCTCCTCTTCATATCTTCTGACTGTTTCTGATTGTTCTGCCGCCTGTCGCTCCTCCTCCAGCTTCTCTACAGGGGTGTAGTTCAGCTTGGCATTGATCTTTTCAGCCAGCTGCTCTGCAATGGTCTTAGCAGAGACCGAGGGTGTCATGATGGTGCCGCCACGCAGGATGGCGTTTGTGGCCTGTTGCATCACATCCTGGGCATGAACGAATAAATAAGTGAAATAAAGTCACTTTAATTATAAATACTGTATTATTAAGAAATAATGCAATGGAAATTTAACAAATTTAGAATTTTACTAATACTTCGGGCTGATATATTTTACCTGAGCCTCAGCTCCCAGGTTTTTCTGAGCGTTGATCTTGAGCGCTAGTCTCTTGGCCATCTCCAGTTTCTGGATGTTTCCAGCAGATGTGGGCCCAAGGCCTGGCAGACCGCCTGCTGAGACAGCTGCTGTGGAAGAAACTGCACCTGCAGCACCTGCTGCTGCCCCGGCGGCAGACAGATCCTTCACCCTCTTCTTGGAGTTGAACATGCTCTCGATTTGCTCTTCAATCTGAGTAATTGAGAAAAATGGAAACAATTGAGAGAGGAAGTACACAGTTATGTAACCGGGAAGAATGTACCCAGGAAATCAACAACACCCGTTGAAACTTTGAGAACACTCACATCCAGCGCTCCATCCTCATCGTCAGAGTCCTGCAGACCCAGAGCAGCTTTCTGTAGCTTCTTCCTCTCATTGGCCAGGGCGTGCTCTGTCTCATCAAACTTGAAGCCTTTCCCCGAGAAGCCACTGCTGCTTTTGATGGTCTTACCCTCCTATGTAGAAGATAATGATGTAATTCAACAACAAGAAAAAATGCTCACATAGATTATTCTTAAAAAACTGTGTGAGTTTTATTTTTTTAATAGCATTTCAACTGGCTAATTAAAACATTAAATTATAATATTCTTCATCTATTCCTTTAACTGTACCGCTTTCTGCTGGTCTTTGAAGGAGGCCCAAAGCTGCTCCAGCTCCTGTGGGACAGGAGAACCAGAGAGCTCCAAAGCTTTGATGATGTCACCAGCGTAACGAACCTGGTCGTCTGTTATGAAGGTGTAAGCGTATCCCTGGAAGGAATTATTACAAGATTCAATCTCATACTTTTTAAAACAGTTTCAGTTATTATTCAGATTATTTTTAATTCACCATTTTTTGCAGTGGCCAAACTCTGATGCGTTGGCTTAATTTTGTAGAACTACACATTGTAAAATTAACAAGTTAACATCAATCTACAAATATTGGGACAGAAGCCAAATTAGAGTGAAAAAGTCATATATATAAGTTACATTTTTTTTCACTTCAAAAATCCAATTTAGTTTGTTTCCTTGGCAACCAACCTTGTTGCCAGCTCGGCCTGTACGTCCCGCCCTGTGGACGTAGTCTTCATAGTGGTTGGGACAGTTGTAGTTGACCACCAGGATCAGCTGCTTAACATCCAGACCTCTGGCAGCTACAGATGTAGCCACCATCAGACGACAGGCGCCGCTCTTGAAGTCATTGATGATGCTGTCTCTGTCATACTGGTCAATTCCTGTAAAAAGTGGAGGGACGTGGAATAAATACATGGCAAAACTGCAGGAGTACATATGCATCGACTGTGAGCACATGAGAGCACATACTTTATTCTGAAAAGTAATGGATCAAACATCAATATATAATAGGCTCATATACATTCACAGTAGTTCAAACACTGTCACCACTAAATACATATGTTCCAAAATTTCATTTCACTATTGCTGTAAGTAAAGAAATATAAATATATAATTATTGATAATACAATTTATATAAAAATTAGTTTAATACCCATGTTTATGATTTGCTGTGATGCTTCTGTGCGTACTTGACAACTTCCCACCTCTCACATAATTTTTAAAGATTGTCTTGAAATGTTTAATCTGTCTGTGGTAAGATGTATTTTTGAACATCTCCAAAAACCAAGTCTCATGATGTGATCAGTGCCTCACCTCCGTGCAGTGACATGCATGGATATGAAGCCTTCATCAGGTCTTTCAGCAGTTTGTCGGCGTGCTCCTGTTTATCCACAAAGATGATAACTGAACCCTTCTCCTGGTAGTGACCCAGAATCTCCAGCAGCTTTAGGAACTTCTTCTCCTCTTCGATCACCAGCTACATTATAATAACAATAAACATTGTTTTCATAGCTTTTTCACATGATTAAAATACAGTATATACACATGCTCAAAAAAGCTGTTGTTGTACAAGCTAAGAATGTACATGTACTGAAATAATACAGAAAAAAATTCAGATGGTTTACCACATGTTGCTCCACATCAGAGCAGACGACACTGCGTCCTCCGACCTGGACTTCAATCGGCTTAGCAAGAATCCTACGAGCAAGAGCCTCCATGGCTCTGGGGAAGGTGGCTGAAAACATGACGGTCTGACGGTCAGGTCGCACGTTGTCCACGATACGCATCACCTGGTTAAAAGTATGAAAGACGGTATTTGGTGGTTAGTAAAATACTCAACATGTACTGAGAAACAAATTAAGAGAATTCTTAAATGAAAGCCTATGCAGTATTGGGGAATGCACCTGTGGCTCAAAGCCCATGTCAAACATCCTGTCTGCTTCATCCAGTACAACATATGTCACTCTGCGCAGGTTGGTGACTCGACCTATAATTGAAAGAGGGAGGAGCATAAAGGAAAGGTGTCTTCTTAAAACATTTATTTTAAACAAATCCTTATATAAATTGTACTTTCTTTCAGAATTTTTTTACTTAATAACATGCAGAAAAATACACTTTTATTCCACAAAAATACTTAAACAAGTTATCAAGTTCAGTTAAATCCTCAGATGTTTAGTGTCAAAGATTTAGGGTTTTAATACTTTATTTGTATTTTAAAAATGTTCCCTCTGATTCTTTCTGCTCTTGCGTACCATCTCAGGAGCATGAGGGACCTGTAAAAGTCAGAAAACAGCCTCAAGATACAAAACATGAGATGGAGCACCATCAAGCATAATCTGATCACACGCCTTTTCACCTACAAGGGAAACAAATTAGAGATTACCTCGCATGTGTGGAAACAACAAAATACTCCATCCACTTAGAAAAACATCAGACGAAAATGCCAAATAATGCACCAGTGAATACTCAAAAGCATTAGCAGTACTTTGTAATTTTTTAAAAGTCAGTGGTATATAAGACTCAGAGTAATTACTGAGACAGAGGAGAAACAGGGCACTACAGTACATCCTTCTTTGTGCTCTATGAAATATCATCATAACTGTCACAATCTTAGACTTGGAGACTGAGGATCCACGATGCAGCTAACACCAGGCCCACCTACCTGCACTCGCCCTGATCGTCAGGAAACACTTCACTGTCTCGTGGTTGTAACTGATGCCAGAGGTGGTCAAATAACGTTGACAGTTTAGTAAGTGACACTGACTTGGTTCATCATGTGCTTCATTATATCATTATATTTATTTCATGCAAGGTAATTAGCTAAAATGTCACGTCAACATCACAGAAGCCTGAAGAAATGCAGCATCCATGAGAAATACAAACTTTTAGGATGGACAAACTCACCACTGTTGGCCCCCAACATGTCAATCATTCTTCCGGGGGTGCAGACGATGATCTCTGCTCCTCTCTTCAGCTCAGCAATCTGAAAGTCATTTGTGATTAAATAAATACTGTAAATACTGTAATTAATAACAGTCCTTTGTGTGTGTGTGTGTGTTTACCTGCTCACTGATACCAGTGCCACCGTACACACAAACCACTCTGAGTCCGAGGGGTTTGGAGAACTTCTTACACTCCTTTGTGATCTGCAGAGCTAACTCTCTTGTCGGAGTCATGATGACAGCTGTGGGATGAGTGCGAGAGAATTTAAAGGAAAAACTTTACATTTTTTTGTCGTTATGTTACCTCAAAAGCTAAAGATTACTTCAGTTTCTTGGTGCTGTGAAAACAAACATCCAAAAGTAATTATTAAATCATAAAAAGGTGTCAATCATCTTTTCCTTACAGATTGGCCCCTCAGATTCCTCCAAAGGCCTCTGATCCATAATGTGTCGGAACATGGGCAACAAGAAGGCGATAGTTTTTCCACTGCCTGTCTTGGCGATGCCAATAAGATCTCTGCCAGACATGATGGCAGGAATAGCCTGGGTCTGAATCGGGGTTGGCTTCTCATAGCCGTGCCTTAAAAAAGGAGGGCAAATAGTCTTGATGTTAATACCTTTGCACCCAATAGCCCACACCTGCCACCTGTAAAACCATGCATGACAATTCAATGCATATGTGAAAGTACTCAATATCAATAGGTCAAAGTCAAAACGCAAATCTCTTTTCTTACTAACACTCATTAGTTAGACTTACTTCTTTAACGCATTGAGGATTTTCATAGAGACCCCACACTGCACCCAGGTCTTGATGGGTTTGGGGCAACCCTTCCCTTTTACTGAAATGCCTTCCAGCTCCAACCTGTACACATTGACTTCTACACAGATCAAAATGAAGAGGAAGAAAAATATGAATGATAAATGAATACAAAATAATAATAAATATTATATATATATATATATATATATATATATATATATATATATAAAATAATCTGTTGTCTGACCTTCGGGTGTCATCTTAGCGAGCTCTGGTACCTCCACATAGAAGTTCTTGCGGTAGGACTCGTATTGGATCTTGTCATGGTCAACAGGCTCCAGGACCTTCCTCTGTTTGGTCTGGAAACCTGTCAGAGCCGTTTGTAAATCCACCTCTTCCTCCTCTGATGAGTACTGTCAAAAAAGCAGGAGCTTACTAACTGTCATATGTAAATATATGAATATAAATTAAACCCTTTATTTTTTATTTTTAAGGACGAACAATGTATTACTAAATGGACAATAGTATCATGTAAAGTAAATTTACAACCAAAGGTTCAATAAAATGACAGACTAATTGTAACTCACCTCCATGGCATCCTGGTCATTCTCCATCAGCTCACCCTTCTTGTGAGTGTGTGGTCCTTTCTTAGTTTTAACAACAGTCACTACTTTGGTCACCATCATTGCCCCCTTCTGTTAAGAATGAGAATACACAACTAATGTGAATACACTCAAGAGCACAACAAACAACACATGATGATTAATGTAAAAAATAAAGCTGACCAGCCCTTTTAACAAACTACACATATGTTTCAAAATATTCAAATATTTGTTATCAGGCTAAATAAAAAATAAATAAAATCACACTTGCTCTCATGCTCACCTTATCATTTCCTTTTACTCCTCCCATGTTGAACTTCTTCACTTCCTGTTTCACCTCTTCCATGTAAGCATCCAGAGGATCAATGTCATCTTCCTCAGCCTCTTGCTCCACGGGAGTTTCTGTCTTCTCACCTTCCTCTTTTTTATTTTCTTTTATTTCATTATCTTTCCCCTCTGGTTTACCCTCCCCATCTTCGTCTTCATCTTCCTCCATTGGTGCTGAACCCTCGTCATCGTCATCTAAAATTGTTCCAAAAGTACAAAAGTTGTTTACACATTGCTGCTTACAGTAAAGAGCACTTTAGGGGCTGGATTTTTTCTCACCCTCATCGTCCTCCAGACTCCACTTCTTGCCCTGCTTCATCTCCTCCAGTTCTTTCTTGATTTCACCAATGTTTTCAATGGCCTTTTTTCTTTGCTCCTCCCTCCACTTTTCAACTCTCTCCTTCCTCTTTCTCATCTCCTCCTCCAACTTGTTCTGGTCAAAGTCTTGCTGCAAAGACAATGTAAAAAAATGTTAAATTATATTATGTACAATTTAGTGACATTTTGTGGGATATTTCAACACGATCTGAACTGGGGACACCTACATCCTCAACTTTTTCATCTTCTTTCTCTTCTTTGAGCTTCTTCTTTTCTGATACTGGTTCCACATTGTCTTTCTCCTTACTCCTTGGTCTGTATGGAACACAAATACATAATCATTTCAAATACTCATTATAGAAAAACTCATTCAAATCCATACTATTTGCTCACTTTTCATCAGTTTTTCTGCTCTTGCTGGGGCTGCTGGATCTCGACCTTCGCCTGTCTCTGCTTCTGGACCTTCGTCTCTCTCTGCTTCTGGACCATCTCCTGTCCCTACTCCTGGATCGCCTGAACAACAACCGCATGCACACACAAAATGAAGTCCACAGGGACAAGTCAAGTCATTATATTGTAACATAATGTGAAGGTTTTGAAAATGTATGTAAGAAAGAAGTCACTAAATAAACGTAAACGATACTGAATAATTACTATGTGATTATCCAATAACTAAACTAAACTACAACTATTAATAAGGTTTTAATGGAAAAGTTTTAATATAAAAACACACCAAAAAAAATCACAAATTATGGTGCTTTGCAAAAAAGCGATGCAATCTCGACTGCCTTCAAACATCAACCTCCTATTGAAAATGCCTGGTGCGTCACGTGCATGATTTAAATAACTTATGTGGCATCATTTAGATTTTTTGTTGATAATTAAATACAGAGTTTGAATTGTTTATAAAGGACACTCACCTTGCTCGTTTTCTGTCTCGGGAGCGTGAGCGGCGGCGGTCCCGACTGCGTGACCTTTCCCTCCGACTCCGGTCCCGGTCGTCTTTCTTGGAGCGCTTTTCCGGAGAGCGACTCTTAGAGCGGCTACCGGACCTTCCCCGAGACGCTGAGCGTTTCCTGTAATGTCTAATGACGAAAAATAACGTCCAAATGCTTTTTTGTGTTTTGTGGTTTCATGTTGGAAAAGTTTTTTTCTTTAATTCATATTTCATGACTACGTGAAAAGCTGAACAAATACAGGGACGTACACGGGTACCAAAGCTAACATGCTAATGCTGTTCAAAACATTACAGGGAAAAGAGAAAGTCAAACAGTAAAAGAGACAAAAAAAATATCAAATTGAAGTCTCACTCACCTTGACTCGCGTCCCATTTTGAATACCTACAAAAACAGTTTGTAAAAATCAAATAATGAAATAGATTTTCAGAGCGTGTAACGAGTGTAGTGCGTTTTGGATCTGTCTCAGTATACGTCAGAAAGCTGCGACACAAATCACACAATCTCGTTCTGGCAGTGCGCCCCTGGCGTTGGGTGGTCAGAACACGATTTTTCCCATGAGGAAGACTTTGACTACAAAACATGGTAGTTGTACATTTGTTAGTTTTATAAAACGTTTCTGTAAATATTTAGGGTACATTTTCAAAAATCAAACGATTGAGACAATAATTGGACAAATAAACAATTTGTTGTCATTTTATTTTTTATTTGCAGAGAGATTTACATCACATCTGAAATGTTTTCTCTTATCAGTTGTTTATTTCTGTACTAAACACTATTGTAGACTGGAACAATCCAAGTTTAAATTTTCAAAAAGCACAAATTAATGTGTGAATTATTTATTTCATCTACAATAGCCCTATAATAGTACAAAATGAGCCTAGTGTGAATTATCTAAATAAAATATCCCTGGTGGATGCAGAAGCACTACAATAAAATGCATGTTTATTTAGTGCAAAATCGTGGTTCATTTTCATTTGATAATTCAATTAAATCAACTTGAATCCAACCGTTGAATACATTTCTAAAAATGCCAGAAACATCTACAAGACAAACAAAAACACATATAATTAGCTTTAGTAGCATAAAAAGATAGTTAGTTTTGTGTTAACTGAATAGGCAAATTTAGCCAAGACACATATTTAACAGTTTCAGAAAAATATATATAACAAAATTGTATTTGGATCAAACATAATCATAATTAATTAGTAAAAAAAAAGACCCATAAAGTGTACTAAATATTGCTTGTATATGTCTAAGTTTGAAAATGTATTTATGGTTGCATTATTTGTTTGAATTTAAAGTAGATACACTTCTTTAAACTTCTTTCATATGAGGGCAGAGAAACAAATTTAAAGGTCGGACCATTTAATTTTGTTGAACATCAAATTTCAAGAAAGAAAAAAGAAAGAAGAAAAAAATGCATGCTGACTGACTAACGCTCCAGCTTCACTTTGAAACGCAGGACCAGATAAGTGGCCAATCTAACGATCAGGAAGAAAAACCCAAGCACAGCATAGTCCACATAGAGCTCTGCCTCCTCCATATGCAGCCACTTCAGGACTTCCTCAGGTTTTTGGTGTGGGCATGCACTCACTGGGGCCACCAGCTGTGACAGGTTGTTCCCAGTCAGAGTTGGACAGTCCAGATCTGGTCGGTTCATTCCGTAGATGGAGACAATCACCCCTTCAAAGCCATATCTAAGAAAGAAGAACAGAGAATACGTTATTTAAGATGAACATTATTGAGATATTATTAGAAACATTAGCCTAAAAGCAGAGTGTGAAGAATTCAGCTGAAACTATTTTCTACTATTTAGCTGTTCTACTTGCATCAGCATAATTGGTATATTATATACATTTACTGATGTGTTTGAAGATGTACGTCCACTCAGAATTGCAATAGAAGCATATTAAATATTTATTTTTCTATGGAGTCAATGTTTTTCCATAGCTACTGTTTTCACAGTGAAATGGATGTGGTGGTCAGACGTTAAGGAAGTGGACTAAGGTCGGGAAGGTATATATAACAATCATCAGTCTTTGCCTCTGTTACTACTGCTGTGTGACTACTACAACTGAGTGTTTATAGTATATTACCTGACATATGAGACATATGCACTCCATCGTAAATATATTGGAATGGTGTCAAACGTGATGAAGAAGCCAGAGAAGAGCAGCACCGGTATAGCTGTGATTTTATAGAAGCATATTAAATATTTACTCGTATGTATTTTTCTATGGAGTCAATGTTTTTCCATAGCTACCGTTTTCACAGTGAAATGGATGGGGACAGTGGTGGTCAGATGTTAAGGAAGTGGACTTAGGTCAGGAAGGTATATATAACAATCATCAGTCTTTGCCTGTGTTACTACTGCTGTGTGACTACTACAACTGAGTGTTTATAGTATATTACCTGATGAAGAGCAGCACCGGTATAGCTGTGATTAGACCCATGAAGGTGGCCACCTGTGGATAAGGCAATAACTGCTTAGAAAGAGTTGTACAGTGAAGAGTGGGTGGTTGAATAGATGGACAGACAGACAGTCAGACAGATATAGATAGAGAGATAGATATAGATCTATCTATAGATTTTTAACAGATATTACAAGTATGCTGATGAACTAACTTCTGCTGATGGTGATGCAGCCCCTATGAGGAGACCAAGTGACTGGGCCACCAGTGCTGTCAACGTGGCTATGGCCACAAAGCTTAGGAAGCGATAGGCCACGGGAGGCTGTCCAGTCATCCAGTAAACAATGCTGCAGTAAATGATTGGACAAATCACCTGAAAAGATGATTGATAGTGTCAGTATTCTGTAGTAACATCATGTTGTGAAGTATTAATTTACAGCACTGTAGTGTTACCTGGAATGGTACATCAGCTACAGTTCTGGCCAAGTAATAGGCCTTCAGACTGTACCAGTTGTTGCGATGTTCCCTCAAAACGACAGACAACTCCAGAGGAACTGTGGAGCAGCAGTGATGTTGATTTATTATAACTGTAACCTAAAAATGAACATGACGGCTGTGGACAACACCTACAGGTCAGGATAGTTGGCATCAGTGCAGCAAACATGAGGAAGAGCATGGAGAAAAAGAGGCAACCAGTGTTGTTGAAAACCTGATTGGCATCATTTCCAGTGTTCAAATACAGAGAGCCAATCAGCAGTCCAACAAGCAGATGAGACATGAGGGGGCGATGGGTCAGAACCTTGGAAAAATAATGAGAAACATTTGATGTCAACAAAAGCAAATGAAGCAAAGCAAAGTGAGATTTATAATTTTAAGCACTTTTGTTTATCAAAACACTATTCACATATTGAATCAACAAAAATAAACAATTATTATTTTACTTCAGCAATGTCAGCAATGTCAGCATTTTCAGCAATTCGATTTTTTAGATAGATTATTAGGAAAATTGTTACTTTACCGAGTCTCTCGCTATTACAGTAAAGGTCCTTTTAAAGAGAATGCTCAACTGTGTGAATGTACTGGTGAAAAATCGGTGTTTCTCCAGAGTGGTCGTGATCTGTAGAGAAACAAAACAAAGACAGAAATTTAAAACGTGGGCCCACAAAAGCGTTTTTAAGTATATTTAGCCATTTTCATAAATGGAAACTTAGCCCAGAGCTCTAACTATCCAAATGTCTCTATACTACAGTCGGCCCAGATCAGAGTCAGCCATTTTTGGTGCCCTGTGCAAGAATATGTTTTGTCGCCCTCTAGCGTCTAGATTTTGTACATGCATTTACAAAGTCTTGACTTGTTCAATTATATGCTCAAGTTCAATCCAAAACCGTGCAATACAATACAACACCTAATACAGAAGTTGTGATAGATATTTTATTCAAATCCATTCCAGAAAAAAATCCTTTTTGTAAGATACGAGGTGATGATGATGATGATGCAGTGAGTACAGAACATCTGTTTGTTCTTTCTCTTCTTCTTTTCCTGTCACTATCTCCACCTGTGATGTCACTGTCCAGCATCAGGAAGCTGACTTAGAGAGTGTGTGTGTGTCACATCCAGGAAGGATGTGATTTCTGCTCAATATCTGCAGTGGCGCTGACATCACTTCCTGTTTTTATGTGTCTGAAGTCTTAGTTAAGCATTTTAACTGGATAACTAGTCAGACCTCCAGGTGGTTGGTTAGTTTGGTTGACTTATGAGTCAGTTAGTTGATAAGTTTGTTTTCACTAACAATATGTTGTTGGTAAAATAATGTTTCGACCTGAGTCTGTGTCTGTGTCTGTGTCTCAGGGGAACTGAAGAAAGACTGCACCTCATTACTGTAAGTGTGTATGTGAGAGAGAGAAGGAGCCAGTGAATGGGTGAAAGGGTGTGTCGGTGGGTGAGTTAGAGTGAGGGAGTGCAGGAGAACGGTTGAGTAAACACCATAACAACATAAGGAAGTGAGAGTCGTCTGTCATTTTATTTTGGATATTTATAGTTACATTTTGTGCTTTTAATTTGTGAATTTCCAGAACTTCCGGTAAAGAACAGGAAACTGATCTTCTGTCGTAGACAAAATAAATAGCTAACCGCTAAACAACTCTGTAATGTTTTTGTTTGTAGTATATTATTTATGTTTTTCTATTAAAAAATATTCGACCAAAAGCATTACAATTATTCTGATGTTTATTCGGATATGGTTTTAAAAAGAAGAACGAAAGTTTAAAAAAAACATTCAAAGGAAATACAAGTATAAATAGACCAGAGCATTTATATCCTAAAAACTCTAACAATATAAACTGACTTACATGCATATAAGAGTAGCTTAACTCAGTTAAATCTCAATTTAGCTGAGTGAATTAAAATAATGATAGTCTAGGCCATATAAACACCAAAATTGTGTTTATAATATTGAAAAATACCCAATGTATTTTTAAATTTTAGATGTTTTCAATTAGAAGGTTAAACATCCAATTTTAGCCTCCTGTCGACTTGACTTACTTTACTCCTGGCAGCTCATTTAAAAGTAAAAAAAATGTTGTGTTCCGTATTTATTTCGATTTTAGTGTTGTGCTTACCTAGTGGGCTCATCAAAGAACATCACAGGAGGATTGTTGACAAGCTCCAGGGCGATGGCAAGTCTTTTACACTGACCGCCAGAGAGCGAGCTTGTACGTGTCTCGGCAGCCCCTAGGAGGCCCAGCGCAGTCAGAATCTCATCCACCTGAAACACACAAACACTTTTCATTTTAGGACATGGTGATAAACATGCAGTCATCTCAAAGGTTATGTGTTATCTCAAGAAGTCCAAGGTAAAATGTGCCAAACCAGAAAAAGAAATAGAGTAGAAAAGGTTGGGGGTAAATGACCAGGGTAAACTGAAAGTGTAAATTGAAAATATATAAAATGTATTTTGAGAATTTATTGAATTATTGCAGCACTAGACTGTGACTGGTTGTGTAGAACCATTTAAACTAGTACAATATCATACACATATTACAGCTCCTGTTGATTCAAATTCTGTACACCAGCTAATAATCAAAATGTAATATATTGATCCCATATTTGGGAAATTATTGTGTTAGGAGCAGACATGCTGTTAGCAGGATGCCCCTCGTAAGCACCAAGCACGTGGTTCCTCTGAAACCGACCCCAGGTCTTTCTGCTTCCAAGGCAGGAGTGCTAACCACAAGACTATAGAACCAACTAACAGGATTAAACAAAAATGATCTACACACACAACCTGATTCATACTCACAAGTTCTTTCTTGAACTCATTGCTTTCCTTCAGTTTCAGATTTGCAGACACCTAAAAGACAAGACAGCTGTCAAGACCCTTTTTCTGGCAGCAGTTTTACACCTGGTGTAGGAGATGTTGACCTCACCATCATGGCCTCCCTGGCTGTAAGGTGGGGCAGCAACATGTCATATTGCATGATGTAACTGGACATCTTCCTGAAAGACGTCACGTTCCTCGATTGTCCATTTACAAAGATCTCACCCTCCATGCCCCCCTCCCTGTTTTTCAATGCAGAGGAGAACATTACTGCACATAACTGACATGTCAAAGTACTATGATTCCTATAAAAATATACAGATGTAAATTTTGAATATGATAATAAAACTGTGTAGCACAGTTCAGCTACCATTGTTATAGAATATTCACTTCAGTGTTTATCAAAGTAATATTTTTTTAGATTAAAAAAATAAAAGCTGAGTAAAATCTGTTTACTGTAATCTTACTGCTATCTCACCTGTATCCTGCCAGAATATTCATGAGGGTGGATTTCCCAGAACCCGAAGGCCCCATGATGCCAATGAGCTCTCTGCTGCCAAACTTTCCTGACACACATTTAAGAAGTGATTTTAAACCTGGAAAAAAAGAAAAACATGGGTAATTCTATAGCTTAATAATACATAGAAAAAAATATTTCTAGGTAAAAATGTCACGTTTTGAGGTTTTTAGGTTTCTACAGAAACACAAATGTGCTGTGGTTGAATTGTAGAGCTGTTCATCAGGTAACAATGCTTCTGTGCCTGGTCAGTTAGATTAATTTGCATATTGTTTTGAAGATAAAATGCTGTATGTGACGAAAAAAGCCTTTACAGGCAACCCACACAGATCAAATTACCTGGAGAAATCAGTGTTTCGAGGAAGTGGAGCTCATTATCATTTGAAATATATTAAAGGTGACACACTAAAAATGTTGGACATGAGAAAATACATACATACGAGAAGCTGCCCCCCATCTTCCAAAATACTGAAATAGTGCTGTTGTTTGTTTGGGGTACGTTTGTGCCGTAAAACGTTTTGTTTGTCTTTTTTCAGGCTTTGGATGATTTTTTTTTTACGGCACAAACCAGCACAAACGTACCCCAAATGAACAACAGCGCTATTACAAAATTTTGGAAGATGGTTGGCAGCTTTACGTAGATGTAAAATACATCAACTTTGAATTTTGACTTGCTGTACCTTTTCTCTTCCACCAGGGTCCGTCTTGAACGGTGTAGGAGAGGTCAACAAATTCAAGCTCAACAGCAGGACGGTTTGGGAGGTGGGAAAAAGAGTTAGTCTCTGTGATTTGGCCGTGTTTGTTCTCCTGGACGTTAGGCTGCAGTGTCCTCTGAGCAGCTCCTCTCACATCTCTGGAGCCTGGTATGGGGATTCTGACTGAAGTCTGGTCATGTTTCTTGGCAGCCATATTCAATGCTACACAAAAAGGCCACAAGGGTCAGTTGGTTCAGACACATTGATGTTGTAGTGTTATGAAAGAAAAAATAAAATGCAAACTGCAACCTGGCATCAGTAAGCACAAATCATCTTTGAGTTAAAATCTGTGAAATGAATCAGAAAAAACTATTGCCCTGTGTTCTTCCTCTATTTGTAATGTATTTAATACATGAGTATATGTCAGTGTCAGTGTAAAGAAGGTGAATTATTTGTCATTGTGAGTTTGTGACACAGCACACCACTGCACACACAATGAACTGTGACCTCTGTTTTTTAACCCATCACCAAAGTGAACAGTGGGCAGCTTATAAGTGCAGTGTGTGGGGACAGTGCCATGCTCACAGCACCTCAGTGGTAACTTGGCAGCTGGTGGACTCGAACCAGGTCCGCTTCCTTAACCACTAAGCCACCACTGCCCCTAAAGACATCAGTGGAACAATGGGCTCTGACCTCTTTGTTCTTGTTCAAATCTGGGCTGCAGTGTTCTGAATGAGTCCAGTCAGAAGAACATGAAAGTGTGGATGAGCTTCCCCACGTCTGGTTGGGACAAAAAAAACTCTTCACTCTGCCTGTGTCATGGAGCTGGTCAACAGAATTAATGTATCAATTCACTCACTTCACAAAAAATAAACCTAAACCAAGTTTGCTGTTAAAAGTGTGTCACTCCAACTTTGAAAATAACAAATTAAATTAAATTCAAAGAGGCAAGTATTGCAGAGAAAAGAAGCTCAGCTGATCTTCTTCTTGGCTTCTTGTATTTTCAACAGTGCAAGTGACCATAAGACTGTAGTTAACTGCTCTGCTGCCCCTTTATCAGATACAAAGGAAGAACAACAAAGGATTAAATGACACAGCAGATGGGGAAATATATAAATAAATAAAAATACCATTATGAAAGGATTTATGAACTGACACAACTGCAACTAAAGGCTGCAAAGATGTGAAATCTTATAGAAATATTTATTAGTAGGAAGAAAATGTAAGAATACATAGCTGCAGTTTATTTTACTGCAGTATTTATGGTATTTAGACAACAACATTCTGCCATTATTTATCAAGAATGGTTTGTTTTTCCTACATGATTTTTTAAAGCTTTTGTTTACCATTTACACATCTTTTACACAACAGACCAAACACTACAGGCATTCTCCTTCTGTATGAGGCATCAGTAGTATTATTCTGCACCTGAACTTGAGACTAGAAGAAGAGAAAAGGGACTGAGTGCAGCAGATGGACAAGCTCCAGAATTCACTTCTAAAATCAGACAATTGGAGACAATAATTGGACAGATACTAAATTTTTTTTCATGTCATTTTATTTTGCAGAGATTATTACATCACAACTGAAATATTTTCTCCATCAGATTTTATACTGAACAATATTGTTTATATTTGATTACATTTGATAATGAAATTAAATCAACCTAAATTGAAAGTGAATTATTTGTGATTGTGACACAGTACATCAACTAAACACAACTAAATGAATTTAAGTGAGAAAATGAAATTTCAGAAGGTCAAACAATGCGTGCTGACTAACGCCCCAGACCCACTCTGTAGCGCAGGACCAGGTAAGTGGCCAAACTAGCGATCGGGAAAATGATCCCAATCCCAGCATAGTCCACATAGACCTCTGCCTCCTTCATGCGCAGAAACTCCAGGACTTCCTCAGGTGTTTGAAACATGGATGCTATGGCTGGGGTCACCAACTCTGCCAGGCTCTTCCCAGTCAGAGCCAGAGACTCCAGATCTGGTCGGTTCATTCCGTAGATGGAGACAATCATCTCTCC